ACTTACCCTGCCAAAGCCAAAGCCATTTCTTTGTACATCGGTCTTAGGCTTTGCGTCGAACAAAAGCAAGAAGAAAATCAAGCGGCCGTGCTGAACTCACAAATAGTAATATCAATAAAAACAAAGCAAGGTGTTGGTGAAGGTTGCAAGCGAACTTGAAGGCGGTTCGCCTGATGTTAGCCGCCGCCCATGGACATTTCCAACTCCCGTTGGGTTGCAGATGTGTTGCCAACTTTTAATAATCTGGGTCCCGGCCACTTCACTCACGACGAAACGCAGAAATAGAACACTCCCGTAGGGTTGCAGATGTGTTGCCACCTTTTGATAAAATGTGCTCCGGCTACCTCACTCAAGAGACGGGACGCGGAAATATAACACTTCTACTTCACGCCGGTCTTCTGTGCGGTGGTGGTACTTACCCGGACGGACTTGCCCATTCGTGCAACAACGAAGACTGTTGCGTGGGCCTACCATCGTAACAAAATATATCATCGGCGCTACCAGCCCGTGGCATGTGGCTGTTGCCAGCATTCTTGAACATATCGTCGCTTTTATTAATTGTGCGTTACTAATGCTTTTTTTCGCAGTCACATTTGAATATTATCTAATGTTGAATCGATTCCAAACAGCTGTGCAATGATTAAGAAACATTATTATCAAGAGTAAGTACTGTCTACCGTTTGAAATTCATCCAGACGGAGATATTAAAATTTTAGAAGGTCGAATTAATTTACCCGCATATGCTGAATTCGCGTATATTAAAAAAAAGTTATCGTGTTATAGCAGCGTATTTGTGACTTTCGCGAAACGTTATCGTCAAAACAAGTTTTTATTAGTTATCATTAGCGTACAGTTTTTTTAAATTAATTTGTTAAAGAGATAGCTAATGATTGTAACAATAACTGAGTATAGGTAGTAATACTCGATAAATGTTTCACACCTAAATATTACCAAATATTACCTTTTTTAGGGTTCCGTTCCCAAAGGGTAAAACGGGACCCTATTACTAAGACTTCGCTGTCTGTCTGTCTGTCTGTCACCAGGCTGTATCTTAAGAACCGTGATAGTTAGATAGATGATGAATTTCTATTGCCGCTATATCAACAAATACTAAAAAACAGAATTAAAAAAAAAATGAGTGAGGCTCCCATACAACTGATATGATTTTTCTATATATATAATACAGAACCCTTCGCGCGCGAGACCAACTTGCACTTGGACGTTTTTTTTGCTTTTATTAACTTACACCTCAGCCCGGCCCAAAGTGGGTTGCAATTGGCTACGCCACGGCTACTATGGCCCTCCGCCGCTACAAGGCGGGGGGAACTGGGTCGGAGGGGAAACCAAATATTACCTACTTTATCCTTACTAATATTATAAACGCGAAAGTTTGTATGTATGGATGAATGTTTGTTACTCTTTCACTCAAATACTACTGAATGGATTTTAATGAAACTTTACAATAATATAGCTTATAGATCAGAATAAGACATAGTCTATAATTTATATGCATATTTTATCTATATATCTGTCTTTCTGTCTGAATTTTACGCCTTCACCCCATTCTACGCAGACGTAGTCGCGGGTAGCAGCTAGTATATATAATAAATTTAAACATTAACAATGTGGTAAGGTCTGTAGTTCAGTATTAACCATTCAGAGTGTATGAATGACTGACGTCCCATAAACTGGATTCACTTGCATTTTGCTACGGGAGGCAGGTGGTAGTTTGTACTGTCTTTATCAATCACTTAAGCGGTAATTTATATGATTTCATTGATACATTTTACGTAATAGAGCGACAGTAAATTTTGGGGGGACTCTGGACTTGCAAGGTTACGGTTCCTGGTTTGTATTCGAGAGGAGAGGCGTGCATCAATGATTTTACGTCGGAGTTTCTATGCGTGATAATCTATGTCTCTGTAATTTGTCCCCTGTTTGACTCCATGCTTCGTGCAGTAGTATTAGTTATCAAAAAAAAAGTATTACATCAATCACAGGATCAACCGCTGGCCTAATCTGAAGGTTGCCTCGTGCACGTTTTAGAGTGCATAGGGTACATAACCACACTTGGATTTTAATTATTTTATGTCTAGATACATATAACATTTTTATTTATTTATTTAATCTTTATTGCACTTAAAATTATTAGTACAAAGGCGAGCTTAATGCTATACTGCATTCTCTACCAGCTAACCCTAGGTAAAACAGAAAGGAAATGACTAGGGCAGTACATTAAAGTTAAAAAGCAGAATTAAACACTGCATTATAATAATGGGTAATAAATTCTAGTAATACTTACATAAACGTACATACATGTTTATACATAAATTTATAACATACACAAACATAATAAAAATACTTAAATATTTAGATGCCAAATTTAAATATATATTAATTTATAAATATATACATACCAGATGTTCGATCAAAGTAAACATTATTAAATATGATATGCATAACATTATTCATATAATACCTATAATGTTCTTTGCTTTTTGTTTGCTGTTTTGATAAAGGAAAATCCGGTATTATAGTTAGCTGAGAATGAGACTGGTTTGGGAGTTCATTATGACCATAAATTATCATGAATATAAATTATCAATTTATAACCAGCATTGATTGGCGAAATAACGCTTGTTGAGATTATAAGACGATATCAAGATTTTAGAATCGTTCACTTTATCTAAAACATATGTGTATACGATATAATATGTGTGTACTATGTTCGCTTCGTATAAGAATTACGATGCGTAATTAAGAATATACCTGCATGTTCATTTGTTATTCTATTTAAATAGGGATTTTCGTCAGCTTTTGTGTGTCTTTTCTTTAGTGTCTATGCGTTTCGAATTGAAATACCAATGCTTAATGCGAGACTTGTTTCTTATCATATCAACTATGATTCTAAAAGATACTTCTTGTGGCGGCGCCATATCTCGGGTAACTGATTGACTAAATTAATGATTCACAACATTTTTTTAAACGTTATGTTCCCCTCTATTCATACAAATAGAGTAAGGTTAAAAACTTTTGTTAATGTAATGATGACAGTTACAGTAGTGTGAAATAATCTTACTTAAATATTTCTGTTAACAATTTATATTGACGCTGAACTCTGTTTTCTGCGGTAACATTAACAGTATTATTTTAGTGGTTTGAAAACCAAAACGGTAATCCCTCAAAGAAATGAACTGATTCTAAATTTTTACATCACGAGATAGCTCCATTATGTGCGAGATACTTATGTGAGAATTATGCAAATTAAAGCATATTTGCAGATTGTAAATTAACTCTGGGAAAAAAAAGAGTTCTTGACAATTATGATTTTTGTTCTCTGTATTGCGTACGGTAAAGTTGGTCGCTGGATGGTATAATGAGATTCCGTGGTGATATCGGGTGCTTAGCTTAGTTACCAATGACACGAATGTTTGAATCTTTATAGTGGCGAAATTTTTTTTACAGTGTAGATTATACGGTGTATTAAACTCGCTTAAGTGTGAAAAATTAATTATAAATTATAACATTTTAAATTTGTAGAGAAAATGGACTATAAGCTTTTCGCCGCTGTGACTATATGAACGATCACGGGGATACGCGAAGAATTATTAATATTATTTATAATTTTAATAGTAAAGGTGCCATCGCTACATATATCTTCACATATTTCATTGTAAAATGCCATTTGAGAAGGCGGCCGTGTTCTGTAAAGGAAACACTAGATGACGCCGAAAACTTTTCGTCTACTTTTCTACTACTGCACTAAAAAAATTAATATCATACAAAATAAATTATGACCGTTATTTAAGAATATTTTATTTACTTATCTGGGCTGTTATGGAAAATTTAACGTAAATTATATTTATGTAAAACAATTACGCACCGTCCGTGTAGTACCATTAATCAGTTTCTCGATCGATGTAAATTTTGTCAAGTCGTTCATTGTCTGCGGATTATCAAAGGCCGCCAAAACTTTTCCTTGCAACTCACTGGTCGCGGCTCAATTACGCGCCGGATTTAAATTAAATCGAAAACTCGGTCCCAAGTGTCGGTTTCCATTATTTATTAACTGCCTGTTGGCGAAACGCCAGTGCTTGCTTTTTTCTTTTTTATTGGCCAATTCTTAAGGAGTGCGGGTGCGTCCGCGATGTTTTTCGACCTGCCCCCGGGCGAGTTTGTTTTCATCATCACGCTGCCAGAGATTTGTCGATCGACCGTTTTATTGATTCATCGGCTTAAATAGACGTTACTAGAAATCGGTGTAAGTTATTCTTTGCCTAGATGGACCGACGACCTGTGCAAATGAACGGGAAGTCGGTGGGTGCAGGTGGCTCAAATCGTGCTTCGCGGCATCCTGTGGGGGAGGCCTATGGTCAGCAGTGAACTCTAATAGGGTGAAATGATGATAATGATGATGAATCTGCCATCACCCATTTCTACGGGGCATGATTATTCCATATGTATGGAATGTTAAAATCATTCTCTTTGACCCTAGCTTAGAAGGTAAACGTATTCTGCTAGAGGACTTTGAGTTCAGAGTTTTTTTTTTACTAACTCTTTGATTGAAGCGTTGTCAGCGCTCATAAAATTATGAAATGTCTCTTGAACACTAAACACGAAATTTGTTTTGAAAATGATTATCTTGTGAAAATCAACATGTCATTTTTCTATCCTCAAGAACATGTTAAATGTTATTTATTTTATGTATGCTGCCAGCTTTGAAATCATCTTGCTTTGAAGCATCTTGAATAGACATTTAATCATTTACGACTTAGATGAACGAAGCAAAGAACGCAAGAACTTTGACGGAAGTCTCACGAGTGACTCTTTCGAGAAGCACTGTGCGGTGCGGAATGTGCAGTTACTTCCGATCTTTGCTTGTTTTCCTAGAACTTCAAGGCGACCTTTTGGGGTACACAATATTCAAAGCTCTACGACCTTTGGTTTAACAACTTCAAGATCTGCTTTCACGTCGTGACCTAAATCTATCTAGCATGCAGACAGGGTGAATTTCTCCTGGAGGCCGTTCCTTCTCACGCTGCTCCCATTCGACGGCTGTGAAGAGTTTCCAGCCGGATTAGCCACTGGCGTGCGTCAGTCCAGCCCGGCACCCGTAATAAATCGCTGCCGGCTTTTCCGGGTGCGCTGCGCCAGAGTCGTCCGCCACCGCTCAGTCTCCGCCCAGGCGTCGTCGCGCGCGCACGTGCCCGCCATGTACCGCCGCCGCTACCGCGCCACCCTCGGCCTCGGCCTGGGCTCCTCGTTCTCCTCCACCTTCTCCACCACCCTCTCGTTCCGCAGCAGCACCGCCACCGACTCGGTGAGGTCCGACGCCCGCGCCACCGCAGCCAAACTCAAGTCCAAGTACGAGAGCGCCGGCACAGCGCAAGGTGCGTTTATCCCGGCGCGGTCGTTGCCCCCTATTGCCAATCAATAGGGCCAACATTATAATTAGTCGACAGTCTTTTTGTATATCTCCCAGCTCTAATGATTCTTGTGTTGTTAATGTGTGGCTCGTAATTTATATCGATTCCAACCGAGTCATGTATTACCCAGTATCGACCCGTAAAGCGAAAAACTACATTTATCGTCAGAACAAATTGAACGTACGGTTCCCTTTAAAGAATGAACTTAAATCGTTACTTAATCGAGGGTTGGGGAGTAAGAAAGAACGTTTCTTACTATTCTGCGAGAATTTTATTTCTTCTAACTATTATTCTCTTTTATATTTGATATTCATTTAACAACGGTTGGGGCGTTTGAATGGACGAAGCTTTTATACGACCCTGACAAATTGATTTTCTACAAATAGATTAAGGATTAAGGTGCTTGAAGCTTAACTTAATACGTAGATAAATATCTACAACACAATGAAATCTAAACAGTTATTTGTTGGTATAAGAAATTTTCTCTTGTAGATCGATAACAGCTGTTTTTTTTTTTCGGCATTTCGCAACCTTTCCGATTGATGGCGTTTTCTCGAAATATAGCAGACTGTATATTTATTGTAAAATTAAAACTATATTTTGTGAAATAGTCATTATTCACATTAAAACCAAATTTTTTGGGATTAAGCACTTAATAGTCATATACATAGTCTCTGCCCTTAAGGTGCATTTGTAATGCTAAATTTTTGTAGACAAATGAACAAAATCTTTCGGCGCTGCGAGATTCGAAGCTGCGTATTCTGTTATCGCGCCGAGTTTACAAAACAATAACACCTCCTTCGATATAGCCACTACTTGTAGATATATTTCGAAAGTATAGATGTTTGAGATTTCTGGCACTGAATGTTTATTTCTTTAAAGTATAAAGCGTATATTATGCGTGTTTCATTAAAGAATATTGTGTATTGGTTGTCGCTTTGTAAACAAAATGTGAACCAAACGGATCGTGTCTTTGTTCTTGACGGGTATTTTGTGGGTTTAGGATTTCGGGATGGACTTAGAGCAAAGTGGTATTTTATCTAGCGGATTAGATCTATAAGCGTTTAGAAGGCAGAAATCAAACCTAATTTTTGTATTCTTGATTGTGTCATGGGTATAGGGCAGTTCGGCGTCTTATCTTTCAATTTACGTCAATTTACGATGTCGTTAACCACCCGCGGCACATATATAGACTACTACATTATTTTTTACGTGTGTTATATTTGGAATCAGCGCACGAAGCTTTTCTCCGATAAAATGTAAGGTCGTTGATGCGAGTGGTGCACATCGTGGCGACATATACTTTTTGATTGTTATTAATAACTAATATTATATGTATAACTAACTTTTTTAAGGTTTGATGTTGTTAATGTATTAAATTAATAGATTTCATTAAATTATTAATTACTGTATTCGGATATTAACGTTTTCTCATTCACGCTTTAATTGTTTAACAAATTTAAATGGAATTTGTAAATGAATACGGAATGCGCTGCTACCTTTAAATGACTGATCGTCAGCGAATAAAAGCGAATAATAAAATAAAGTTATTGCATGTTAAGAAATGATAATTATATAATATGTAGGTATATAATATTTGATCACGATTTATTATATCATAGTTTAAAGCATTTTTTAATCCATCTGAAGAACTACTTGACATTGCAGCACTGACGCTTTGTTCGATGCATGATTTTTTTTTTTTTTAATGGGGGAAAAAGACCATATCCTTAACCGCCCTTAGAGACTACTGTGAGATATTGAATCATAAGGTTTTTGAAGTGCTTCCTTGGCCACGGGCTAGTAAGTCTTGTTTATGATATGTTTGGAAAATGATACAATTAGGTAATTAGACTCGGAGCTGGCTGTGATCAGAGCGAAATCTCGAAGAGTGCGCCTCGTGGTTGGTTAATGGGGTGACATCGTCGTCATCATCACTTCAGCTTGTTTTAGTCCACTGCCGGCCATAGGCCTTCCCCCACAGTCGGCCACTAACGATAATCCTGAACCACTATCTATAGTTAACACGTATTATGTTGTATATATTGAAAACTTTTAGTGATCACTAGTGATCACCCGATCATAAGAGGTATACAACATAATACAACTTTTAACCTTCAAGTGGTCCTTTTAATAAAACTAGTTTGTATCGGAATAATATTTATAACATAATTATCAAGCTGATGGTAGCCCCGACTAGCAATGACGTCAAACATGAGCCTTCGATACGTCAGCAGTTGTAAGTACTTGTATCAAACTTTGTAGTTACTATGAAGTAAATTTTTACACAGTGAATTTGACACAAAAAAATTTACGGAAACTCATGCCTGCATTACGCCACTTGGATCGGAACTATATATAAAAAAATATCTTCTGTCTTCTTATATATAAAAATGGATTGCTGTTTGTTAGTCTCGCTAAAACTCGAGAACGGCTGGACCGATTTGGGTAATTTTGATTTTGAAATATTTATGGCAGTCCAGGGAAGGTTTAAACGATGAGAAATTATGGAAAAATTGCATGTACAATGCAATTGAATAGAAACAATTTTATTTTCCCATACACAACCGTCACCTACCTGTCAAACATTTTACACGTGCGTTACGAATATTCTTTATCTATGGGTCCAGATTCACAAATTCCCTAAAAATAATTTATATGGCAAAATAACATTTACCGGGTCGTCTAGCATTGAATAGAAATGACTTTCAAATGTCTGAGATTTGAATCCACGGCCTTGCAACGCAGGGCCACCGTCCCAGCCGCCAGACGGTTTTGGATTTGAAAGAAAATTTTGTGTGAATAAAAATATTCTGTTCCTCTGTTCGGCGATTAAATGAATAGCATTGATATTCTCCGCTCATTCATAAATCTTCCCATTCATTCACCGTCACGTAATACTGTTACAATAAATCGTCTCGAAGATAATGAAAATCTTAAATGAAAAATGTATATGTAGCTATATGTGCCATATAGTTTAAGAATTTTCTCGAAGTTTTTCACGAGAACGTGGACTAATGGGTTTTCTAAAGTAAACTACTACCATTGCCAGATTTACTTTTCAGAGCTCCATGAAATAGTAAAGGTTTTACGGCTCGTTTAAACGGCGTTTCATTTTAATCCGCTGGAGCTAAACGGGTTGCGTCTAGGGAAGTAGTCGACGAAGAATTTAATTAGAGTAAAGTGCTACGGTGTAGCTTCGTTAAATTCTCTCGACAAGTAATTGGATTCATTTTTTAAGGGAAATTATTAATGTCTGACTTTCCGTTACATTGAATTCTAGACACGGTCAGAGCCACTGAAAGGCGTAAACAGGTCATAGTTATTGACGATGAAATGATCGCTCATAGTACCTGTCTAATATTGGGAGCTCGCATTTAATTGGTGTACCTTTGTGTGGTTAAATCCTTTCTAAATAATCTCTAATAAAAAAAATAAAAACTACACCACAGCAGTATACATGAATTTGGCTTTCTTAAAGTACTTAATAGACACGGTAAAATTTTCTTACACAAACGAAAAAAATGTCTGTAAAAATTCTTATCGTTGCGTTTATAAGACGTTTTAAAATAACTACTTTATTTGCCATAAACTAAAAAAGAGTAGAGTAATACAAAGAAAATTGTAAACAAAAATAAAATAAAATAAAAAAACTAATAAAAATATTTATGAATAGCAATTGGACAAAAAGGTAACAAGCTCAATGATTTCTGAGAAAAGTTCTCACTGCTAATTTTCAGCTTTGCAATTACTAAAATTACTTATTCATCTTGACGGTGGTAGGGCCACGCAGCAGCCTCGGCTGTTGCACGAATGGGCAGGCCTGTCCGGGTAAGTACCACGACTTCACAGAAGACCAGCGTAAAGAGGAAGTATGACAAATACTTTCGCGTTTCGTCTGGTGAGTGAGGTAGCCGGAGCCCAATTTTCAAAAGGTTGTCAACGCATCTGTAACCCTCGGGTGTGGCAGATGTCCATGGGCGGCGGTATTCACTTAACATCAGGTGAACCGTCTGCTCGTTTGACAACTTTTCGCATAAAAAAAAATCTGCAATAAGTGATTACGGTAGTTGGTACATTTTGTTCAGTTAGGTCTCAGTAATATTGTAACAACGAAAATATATATCTAAATAACAATAACTACCGTACTGAAACACAAAGGAAGAAGAGTATAGACAAAACGTATATAAATAAACCTAGTTAATGAAGCAAAATAAATATTCAATCACTTTAAAGTGCGCTTTTGGCGTTAATATAGCCCGTAACCGGGAAACATAGGAAACCCAAATAGCTTTGGGTGTTTGTTATAGTTTTAGCTGCGTAATAAACAGCGTTTTCGAGGTTAGGACCGAATGTGGGGCGACGGTTAAATATTACCACTCGATATGATGTTTATCGTTGTTATTAACTACTTGCGGTTTCGGAGTTACTGGAATCACAGCTGAAAGCGATGGGTTTTGGGTTTCCAATTTATGGCTTTGTAAGTTTTATGCCGGGAATACCGAACTTGGATAAATTTGGTGAGTGTTTTGGCAGAGTTTGTAATGACGTTTTATTTCTTTTCTTTACTGTATTTTTAACTCGCTATGTGTTACAAATACAGTTGTCAACAACAATTTCTTTTCAATACCGCCGTCCGTGGACATTTGCAACCCCGTCTCCCTCACTCGCCAGACGAAAAGCATGCCGGTCTTCCGGTGAGGTCGTAATACTTCACCAGACGGAGCTGCCCATTCGTGTAACAGCGAAGACTGTTCCGTGGCCTTATAATAATAATTTTTGTAATAAATCAAGATGGCAACGTTTCGTTACGATCACAAACAAATAGGCATGAAGGAAAATCGTAAATTTGGAATGAGTGCTACATGATGTATTTCAACATGATTATTGTTCGGATGTTTATCGATTTCGCGGACGAGAAACTCATCCGCTCTTACGACGTCTATTTTGTAGACAATGACTTGCAACGAACAATATATTCGGCCCACTGCCGATTATTGAATATTCGGCGGCATTCCTGGCTGAATAGATGCATATTAGGGAAAAGTATTTGGCCAACGCGTAGGGGGAAACCTTGTATTGACTTGATTCTTTCTAGTTAGTTCACATGTACTCACCTTCCTTCCATACCGCGTTACGTGTTTCGACATATTTAGTTTGCACTTGAGTGAATATGAATCAGTTTAACGTTCTCTTTAAATTTTAATTGACTCTAGTCCTACTTATCTGTCTCGGGTTGGAATAGAACCCACGAAACGTGGCTGGGACGAACTGCGCCAATCGCGTCGTCAAAATTCAGTGCCAGTTAACCAACCTCCAGTACCGTAATTGTATGTTCACACTTCGCAGTAATTTTATATAATTGATATAACATACTGCGAAATGTGTGAACTACCTCCTAAAAAATAAACAGACACAAGACAAATATTAAGGAAGTATCGAAAATATCATGACGTATACACAGTTATTAGCTGTTTTGTTAGCTCAAAAAGAAGATCATGACGCGCTTTAACGCAGTTTTGTAATCAGGGTTAAAATCAACGCCCGTTCGCTAAGGTTTATGATAACGAATCACACCTTAGCGAAGCCAGTATGAGGGAGTAAGGCTTATATGATAGAGAGATATGATATCAGTAACCCGTAACATTTAAGTCTTCTTGAAATAAAATAGAGTACCTATATTTTATTATTTTATATATTTAAATTTAAATATTTTAGGGATTTATTAGGTCGATTATCTTGTGAATAGTTTCAAGCGTTCAAATTGTTCATATTTAATCATTTCTCCAATAAAGTGTTTAATTTATGGCAAAACAGGTATGACCCTGTATATTTTGTTATTATTTTAATTTTAATTATTATAATTATACGCATTCTGTGATAGGGGTACACAGTTAAAGTAAAAGGGATAAGTGAGTTTGTAAAAGAGTCTAATTACCTACTGGTAATAATTTATGATGTCACATAAACATAAAAATATGACAAACAAAGATCGCGAAAGGAACAAGTAAAATAAAATTCGAACGACTGCTTGGGTCTTATTAAAAAGTTAATTTTTTTTTAATTTAGTTAATTATTATTTGACTTCCCTGAGTGAGAATTTGGAAGAGAATTGGATTGTAATGGGAACTGGAAGATTTTAAAATATTTTGCAGACCATGGCACGGCATATGCATGCCAGAGAAGTGGCGGCCTCGCATTGGCCATCGCAGACGATCTTCAGGTTTTGCAAGAATCTCAGAAATTTACGAGTTTTGATCAACCGAGTTTTTATTGAAATATTTATAAAAAAAATCAGCGTATTGGCGTATACACAATTATAGAACTCATAGAAACAATTATAATTGCAATATTTTCATTATAAACTGAGATAAAACCTGTCCTATGTCCTAAATTGGAACAAATCCAGCAAAATGAAAATAAATGTATTAAAATTCAGTTGAGTAGTTTCGGAGTACATCGCGGACAAACTCTGTGAGTGTATTTTTACATCAGAAACATATCTATATGTAAATTAAACATGTACTTACTTTGTTTTCCCCAGTTTTAACGTATAGCAACATCGCAACTCTCTTTATATCGTACTAGCAGCTGCTCATGAACGTCTTATTAATCGTGGGCGTATATTTTACCCGGTTATAAAAACATTTATGAACGGCCTTCGGGGAGAGCGTTAGCGAATGGCAGAAGGTTGTTTGTGACGTAGCCTCGATGTTTTCCCGTAACGGAGTTCTGAATCTGTTATCATTATTGATGATGATCCGAAAGACATGTTAACCAAAATTGAAAATATGCTGCGTTACGTTTTGTACACGTCATACTTTCAAAGTAACGAAACATGTTTACACAAACATGTTTAACACATTATTTTAATGTTTATGTACTGAATGTACGTTTAAAGTAGTAGCGTTTAATTGATTAATTAATTTAATTTTTAAAATTGAAATTCATGGTGGAACTCAATTCCGGTTTTAAAATTTTCATCAAATTATCATCAAATCGCCTTGATAATAATGAATAATTGCTTATTTGTCTTAAATATGTTAGTTATCTCATGTAGTCTATGTGACGGATACGTACACCGTATTATTCAATATGAAAGAAGCATAAATTTTCATGGCTGCAATCTGCTGCTCATTTACGCAAAAAAAAATGTGTGCATGAAGTAAAATAGAAAAAAATGTATGGTGCAATTCATAACTAAAATGTCGACAAAAACCTAAAAAGTTAAACATTGATTTTTCCGACTCTTGTCCTGCTAAACATGTATATATTTATATACATATTAATATAATATAAAGGGGTCTATAACGAATATATACGTTTTATACTTTAAAAAGTATTGAAACTGATATGAGACAGTACGATCTGTAATGAGACAGTAAGATTGTTAATTTATTGATTTTAAACCGCGTACGCAGTCTAATTTCGAGTCGCAAATTTTCTGTAACCCATAATAATCAGATTGATGTAGAGTTGTTTAGTGATATACATATATCAGTGTTGAGAACGTCTCTGTAACAGCTGTTCAAATAGTTGAGCATGACATATCTCGCTTTGGCTTACATGCTACATTGTTGTAAATAGATTTGCAGCATTTCATTACACTTGAAGTCACAAAAATAAATTGAATAAAAAGTATATGCTACTTCACAAGACATTAATAAATATCTTAACATTGATCAACGTAATACCTTATTATTTTTGTCGTCAATTGGATCGAAACACCGGCATAAGTTAAGAAACATAAGTAGTACAAAATTGAGTTTGAACTTTTGTCTTCACAATCGATTGCAGACATAAATCGCAGTCATTTCGGGTTTAAGGTCGTGTATGTAAAATACATATCTACCGTAATAATAAGTTTGAACATTACTTTTCAATCTTCACAAAAATAAAAGTTACGAGATGACGTAAAACGTTGAAAATATATCCCGCATCAAAGAAACCACTCTACGGAATATGCTAATTAAAATTATATCGGGTTTTTCACTTTGGCGTCTGTCAACTTCTCTGAGTGTTGGAGATTATGAAGAATTATTTTCAGTAGCAACTTTTGACGGCGGAGCTTTTCTTGATAATTGAAATATAATTGCGTTTGTGTAGCATACAATGGCAACTTTTTGCATAAGCGATGATGTGGTCGGTATTGTTCTTGTTTATAGTCTTATATAAGTATTATACATCCTAAATAACGTAGTGATAGTTTTATAAGCAATAATAGGTTGATATTTGATATTCCAAATCACAAACTTGAGCTTCAATCAAAATTTGAGCTTGATTTAACTTAATCATTATTTAAATATTCCTGCAAAGTGTTAATTATTATCACATTAATTTTAACATTCGTAGTAAAGTATTGAAACAGATGAAACATTTATTAAAACATTTTGGCCAACAGTAAAACGCTTTTTTAATATCCATCTTAGCTTTACCTTCCCAGTCACCGTGAAATTGAACATTTACCGATATGTCAAAGCCAAAAGTTCCAATGGAGACTGTGGCAACCAGATTATTGCCCTCAAAAACAGAATAAACGATCAAAGGCTTCTTTTTAGCGGTACGCACGTAAAACTTTGTCTTCTTAAGGTTAAATATGATTTAATTTAGTTAGCTTCAATCCGATTTGAATTTTCGAAAAGAAACTTGATTCTGTGTTATATTTGCCTGTTGTTTTTATCACGTTATTTTCATTCGCATAGCCGTATAGCAATGTGCCCGTCATTTTTAAATACTTAGAAATAATTTTCTAATCCCGTGTCCCGCGGGATTGTATATGTTTTCTACTCATTGCTCAAAACCTCGGTCTTAGATTTTGAAACTAAGTAGAATTACAAAAACCCTGTCACCTGTATCCTGCATGTTGTTTCGTTCTCATTTTCGGAGTATCAGATTATTCGTGCGTTATGTCATTTGTGTATTTAAATCGAGTGATAGTAGTTTCGAGTTTTAAATCCACAAATGACGTCATGATTATCACACTCCCATTCACCCGATCGCAGGGACGCGCCTTTTGCTTTAAGAGGCCCATGTCGAAACATTAGCCCGTTAGCATTAGCCCCTTTCCATTCTGTCATGCGTTTTTCGATCACCTTACAAACATCAGAAACAAATTTCAGCATTTGCAACAACACAAGTTCGTATATCGTTAGATCTTCTAAGTTGTATACATCTCCTAAGGCACATTCGGCATTTGTCTCTACTGCCCATACTTTCGCCCACCCATATCCTGCAGGTATATCACATTTGTTTCAAGTTCGCCTCAGCACTGTCTTAACACTCGCCATGCTCTGGCAAGACCTTGGTCGCAGAGCAGCCTTAATCGATACCGTTATTTTTTTCTACGCAAGTGTTGCGGCTGGAAAGTGTTTAAACTGTTTGCTTTTGCTAAATACGTTTAAGCCAACAAACTGACAGAATTTTCAATGTCTGATTATATACTCTTGTAGCTTTGGCTTTTCTAGTCACATTGAATTATGGTTAAGGTACAGTCTGAGTTACTAAATGTAAACCCGATTAATGATTTAATCTGTTAGAAACACTATATTACAGCACTTACAATACATTGATATAATTGGTAATATAACATTTAATTTCAAAAAGAATTAAAAAAAAATATTACATTGATTACGGGATAGATATACTAAAAATTTTGAAATATGAAATTTTCGTTCAGAATGTAAATATCACATTAACGAAATCCGAAAAGTCCGAGGGTTAAAATTGAATTTGGAACAATAGAAATTCGGCCAGGAATATAGACAAGAACTAAACTTCTACGGCGCGTTGTTTTCAAATAAACGGATGGACTCACTTTACTCGAAAATGGGGCTAAGGGAAGAACAATACGCTTCACCTTGATTCATCCAAGTAGTTCACACATAAAGGGGTCATCGACATCGCGTTCAGACGCGCTCTGTTATTCCGACGCCGTTTAGTGAAATCGAATAGTGTTCGAAATAGCCCGATGGTCGGGCACCTGGCCCGGCGACCGCTGGCCCACTGACTCGGCCCACATCCGCAAATAGACCGCCCCCGCCGCTATTGGCACCCGTCGAACGATCTCTAAGACACGCCATCTTGCGTATCTGCAATGGCTCAGCTGCGAATGTCTCACGATCGAGTGACGTGAAGGGCAAGGGGTCGATTCTAAAAACTGTACTCACACCAGTCTCACACAGAAGATCAGAAATCTCAATCTCCTAGATTCGAGTTAAGGTAAATGACGGAGCTCGGTACCAACTTCGAACTTCTTCGTCTTCCACATAGCCAAGATGGTAGGTCAAATGTGTGGTGAGTGCAATATAGGCCAGTATAACCTATTTGACCAGATTATTTTTATTCCATTGCTTTCAAGCAAAACTGACGTTTTGAACTGAACTTTAGCCAATACGCTCAATTTTCTAGAAAATGAATTAGATCATCAAGAATATTTTTAACTTCTATCATTGAAAACGAAGGGGAACCTCCCTCCATCAGTGTGTTTCCATTATTTTCCGCTCAGACCATGAAAAGATATATATACATTGCATGTTTATCACACGTCTGACAGGTTCCAAAACCGAACTTCATGTTAATGCAGTATTGAAGTGTCTGTTTATGATCATGGCAAAACAGATCGCTCTAAGGCTGATCCATCCTTGGATGTTTAACAGGAATCTCCAATGGTCGCATCTAAATCTGAATGGATCGGTACACAAAGCAACGTTCCTTTACGGCTGTTTTGCAAATACACATTTGCGACTGAGCACCGAAAGTTGTAGATTTTGGTGTTTAGGTGTTGAATTTTTTGTGTTCAGTTATTGTGACTATTTTAATATCTTGATGAATTTTATAAAGCATTTTATTCTAGGTTGTATGAGTTTAAGGAATCTTATGTTGATTCCTCTTGTATCACTCGCGAAATGCTATTTATCTTTTGTAGTTAACTAAATGCGTTGGTCTGGCAACGATTAGAGTGCACTTTACTGGGGAGCGTTGGGATCTCTGGATGTCGGATGCTGGACCGGGGCCAGGGGTTTGGAGTGCCGGATCGGTCGCCACCCGCCGGCCGGGTTCCACGACCAGCGTGGGCGGATTGCATAAAGAGACGAACGTGCCGTACTACAATTGCGGTTTTATTATTATCTCTATATATTATTTATGAAATTTGCTTTTTGTCGGTACGCAATATCTTCCATAATTCTATAAAAAATTTAATGATTCAAACACCATTTTAAAGTTTTACGTTTTTTTGACGTTTGCCACTATTTCATATAAAAACTTTCATTTAAAACAATTCTTATAAAAATGTATGATAATGACTTCTATCGAAAATTTGTTTAAATGAAAGATAGCAAATTAAACTTTGATATACCACAAAAACATAAACAGAGTTTCATATACACTATGGCTATTGGGAATCATCGTCACTTTCACCTGGCTCTGTAGAGACCTAGCTATGTACGTTTATTAAGAAGGACTTTAGTTCGAGGATTAATAATTGAACTGCCTCCTCTATTCGTTCTACTCCTTGGATGGTTAGCATTAATAGGTCAATCGGCACAATGCGCTCTAGCGACCGTTCTATTTCTAAACTGGATTCAATTACACGCGCTTTATTTCTGTTCGCGTGCACTCCGACACTCGTGCCCTGTGTAAAGCGTTTGCAGCGGATTTTGTCACGTACACTCGAGCCGTGATAGCTCAGTGTCCGTGCGCTCGCCTTTAATTCAATATACTCGAGCAACCTGAGTTCGATCCCCGGTGCCGGCACCAATGAAGTTTTTAACTTTAAGTGCTCACTTATCACGTGCTCCGCGGTGAAGAAAAACATCGTGAGGAAACCTGCATATTTTCGAAATAATAACAAAAAAAAATATTTTTCGAAGATATGTGAAGTCCGCCAATCCGCAGTGGGGCCGCGTGGTGGACTATGCCCTGATACCCTCTGTATAGAGGAGGCCTTTGCCCAGCAGTGGGACATTTATAGGCTGTTACTTTAATTTACTTTACACCCGAGTTTAATGTGCGGTTGGTGGGGTATCAAGGGGCTTTGAAATCACCATTACATCACTGGTATATGAAGCGGTTCTTTAATGTGGTTACATAAAATTGTTTTATCTGATACTGTTTTATTTTAATTTTTAAATTCACGACGTTTCATATACTTTACAGAGTTCATGGTCACGAGACTGAGTTGTTTTACTTCCTATAGATTGTAGGATCTGAATCATTTACGGCCACGCAGCAGCCTCGGCTGTTGCATGAATGGTCAGGCACGTCCAGGTCATTCGCCAATCGTCCAGACCTCACAGAAGACCAGCGTAAAGTGGAAGTATGACAAATACTTTCGCGTTTCGTTTGGTGAGTGAGGTAGCCGGAGCCCAATTTTCAAAATATTTCATTAATAAAAAGAAGATTATTTCACTCCTATTTTTTTAATACGATAAAGTGGCAAACGAGCCGGCGGTTCACCTGACATTAAGTGATAACCGCCGCCCACGGACTTTTGCAACACCCGTAGGGTTGCAAATGCGTTGCCACCTTTAAATAAGGTGGGCCCCGGCCTCACTCACCAGACAAAACGCACAAGTGTAACACTTCTACTTTACGCTGGTCTTCTGTGAGGTCGTACTTACCCGTACGAGCCTACCCATTCGTGCAACAGTGAAGACTGTTGCGAGGTCCTACCACAGTAAAACTCACCCATCCCAACATCCTTAACATGTTATTTATTAAGATCAATGTAGTGCTACAAAAATTTAATGTAGTTTCAAACTGCAGACTTCCAAGGCGCGTCGGTAGTAAGTTATAGAAATAAATTAATTAATGATCCTCCATCTTAACTACTTTAAAATGGTAAACATATTATTTTTAGTCATGATTAGGTTCCCTAAACAAAAGTGATCACAGTATTTTAAATGTATGTCAATGAAGTTAGAATTTGCGTTTTGGACAGTAACAATCTCATTCTACGAAAAATAATTTTTGAAATAGTTTATAGTGCTCGATTAAAATTTCTTGTCATCACGTAGAATTGCGGCATATCATTATATAAAACAATTTTCAACTTCTACAAATATCAATGAAGATTTTCGATGTTCTCGCAAGACTCGCTCCTCGTTAATTACCAAAGATAGTAATTTCATATCAGCTAATAAGTATAAAATTGAATAAGACTTTTAGCTCTAGTTAGCTTCATCGTACCGTACATTCCTGGTCAAAACAGTTGTCAACGCGGCCAGTGCGATCGCTCCCGAGCGTCGGGTCAGCGACAACACTGCGGTTGCCTCCGACGCATTGTCCGCCCCAATTGAATGCGGCGAATGCAACGTCTGGCAAATTGGCCTCTTCCTGCGCATCGCCAGCCACGTCTGCCAATCGGATTGCTGCTAACGAGCTAACAAAGCCGGCGACGCGCTGGATTGGCATGCATACATGGCTTGATTTCGTACCGCCAGGATCTTCCAGTAACGAATGTATACAGCGCGTAGTTACAACTGCGACAATAAATGAACACACGTCTAACGCTACTTGCCAATAATCATATATAAACATAATAAAAAAAATATATTTTTCAAAAATTTGTAAAATCCTATACAACTTACAACTGGACAGATTCATACATTCAGAGACTTTTTCATTCGTTGCCGCAGCGTCGCATTACAAATCAATCCTCCTAAATGTATGTTTTACCTCTTTTAAATTAATTCAACCCATTCTTATGCTTTGTGACCTTTGCAAATGAACTTTACGTTACAGTTTTATACGTTAGAGTGTTCTAAAAATGTTTGATTTGTAAAATTTTATAACTCTGCAAATGATGTTTAAAGAATGTAAATGTTTAATACAATTTTAAAAAGTTATCCTCTATATGTGTGTTCATTTGTTGTCGCGGATGTAAAGACACGCTGTATAAGCCCAACGTCTATCCAGTTTATAAGAGCATATCCGAGACTGATTTGGTTAATTTATTTAAATCGACAGTACCCATTTCGAACGATAACGTCAGTTTTAGTTCAAGAGAACACATGTGACAGGTGTTATTTGTATGTCATACAAATGCTGATGACTGCTCCGGTATAAAAACTCCCAAGACGCTCTTAAAAATATTGGTGATACTCTTTAGGGCAAATTGAGATAAGTCCGAAAGTGGCAATGTTCTTTGTAACTGACAATTATAAATGGCCCCTAAAATACCAAGCTCGTCCACCTCTTCTTTTGTTAAAGCCTGGTTATATCAATTGCATAGGATACATTCAGTATTACACATTGTGCGAAAACAAAAGAAACGTGATTAATGACTTGCTTTGCGCATAATTCTAATCTATGTACGATGTTTGTCACAGTATACATTCTCCGTTATCTCGCGCTCAAATTAAAAAAATAAAATATTTTTATTTTTAAATTTGAGTGTTTTGTCGTTATTATTCTTGTCTCACCTGCAACTGTAGTAGGGTCACTCAACAGTCTTCTCTGTTGCATGAATAGTATGGTCCGTCAATGGTAATATTACAACACGTGAATTATTATTTTATTTATTTATGTACGCTATCGCTGTATTATCACTAAATGTCAGCGAGACTCAATGACTAACGAAAAACTGTCATCTATATTGGTTACATATAAAATATCCGTAACTCACACTCTAACTCTTAAATTTCTTTGCCAAGCGGAGTTTTATGAAAAATTATCGAAATTTAATTCGGTGGATACAGGTGGCTCACAATCGTACTTCGTGGTAGTCTGTGGGGGAGGCCTATGTTGAAGGTGGAAAACGAGTAGGTGGTGAATCAAACTTACCGACCCGTCATTACTTAACATCAGGTGAACCTGACGCTAAGTATGTGGGGACGCGGATCCGTAGCCAACTTTTAAGATGGAGCCCTGGTTACCTCACTCACCAGACGAATTTCTTCCCGCCTATATTCTATGAGGCCTTGTCACCTTTTGGCTGAGTGGCTTATCGTCTATTGCACATTCTGGTGCACATTATGCACGAATATGCAACAGACGCGACCCACCCTATCACAGTAAGATATAAGGAAAAAACATTAAATTATTTATCATTCGTTAATAAAACTCAACAGAAGCTATCTTTTACATTCGCCAATCGTATATTTCTATTATTATCTCGTCTTCAAAAACGTAGATAACAAGTATGGTCGACCTCGTATAATTAAATTAGATTACATTCAAACAGATCGTGTAACATTTGAACAAATTAAATAAACCAGAAAATTTAAATCCCTTGTTATTTGTTGAAGAGGATACTCGAGCTTGACGTAGTTATTTCTAAAAATTATAATTGGCACAAACCCGAACTTGCTAACAAACCCTGGAAACGCTAAGTGGTGTACACCGAATTTGAGGCTTCATTTCAACATGTTTTTTTTTTTAATTTTAACAACTCTCACACTTGTTTTGTTTTCGTGTTGTTGGCCAGCGAGCAGGTTTACCTGACGTTAAGTGAATACCGCCGTTAACGGACATCTACAGCACCTCAGGGCTCGCCTTGCATGCATGCCTGCAGACATGCCTTCACAACCCCCAAGAAAATGGGTCCCAGTTACCTCACTCACCAGATAATATAGTAGTTCCACTTCGCGCCAGTCTTCTCCGAGGCCGTGGTACTTCCCCGGTCGAGCATGCCCATTCCTGCAAAAGCCGAAGCTGCCCCGTGGCGCCACAACACAAAGTCTCTATGGTTTCACAGACATGAAATCACAAACACAAATTACACATAGAGTCGGGATAACAAAAACAGCGCGCACCGGAATATGGATTCAAATGTCACTAGCAACTGTTCCTGGTTGATACAAATACAAATACAAAAATGTTTATTACATTAACATATTTCTTTTACAGTTAATAAATATTTGGAGCAACCTTTTAAGCAACTGTTTTGCTTGTGTTAGGCAGCATCGCTCTTCCATAGCATACTTATAATAAACTTAACGAAATGCAGCGTGAAATGTAAATGTGTGATACGATTTCCATTGAAGGCCTGACGTGATATTTGTCCATGAATGCTGATGATGACTTACTTATCAGTGTGATTTATTGTCACCTCCTCCATAAAAATGTTACCCTGGAATCCTAACGTTTTTGTAATTATGTGAGCCAGCACTTTATGGCGTGTATGGAACACGGCACAAATCGTGTGATCGTATAAATGTTAATGGTGTCAGTTTTTCGGTGAAAGCTAAATTAAATTATATGCAGGTGTGTATGTTAGCCCATTGAATCTGTTTGCGTGTCGGTTGCAGTTATGGTTTCGTGGCGTTGCTGTTAGCTGTTGACTTCGACGCCGCGGGTCGTGGTTTCGATTCTCATACGGTTCTGAGTGTTTATTCCGAAGGAGCCAGAGAAGGCGGTCGTGAAAGGCCTAGCCAATACCACTTATAACACAATACACGTTCTGCCGACCCCACCTAGGTGGGATAAAGGTTGCTGAAAAACACGTTGTTGTTTTGTGATGCCTCCGATAGAGAAACATTGTAGCATTGGACTTTAGCTGGTTGGCAATAATCTCCATATTCCTTCCGTCGAATCAAATGCGGAACTCTTTATGTCAACTTGACTATACGCATGGCGCATAGGTCGAAGTGGTCTTTTCGCAAACGCCTAATATGCCAGTGAGTGTAATCCGCTGAAATCGTGTTTACGATACAAAGCCTAGGTACATTTTGTGGTTCGAGATACTGGTTTGTAAACTCAACGCGGCATAGGAATGCTTTAGCACATGAATTTTATTTTAAAATTATTTTAAAGACAAATGATTTATTATTTTAAAGACGAATGAAATATTCATTTAGTTCTTTCCGTATTTTCATATACTAGTTACATTTATATTCTACTATAATAAGCAGTAAACGTTTAGTGTCGTTTCTTTTAGCTTGAGAATCATTGACCAAAATAGAAAGTCTATTAAAAACGTATTTTAAATGTTTGTGTGTGTAGAAATTAATCCATGCCGGTCCACCAGCCACACTGAAAATGTCATCAAATCGAATGCGGGGCATTAATAACTCGGATAAGACGGCTTTTACATGGAGGGAGACAGAGGCTGAAAGAGAGAGAAAGAGATGGAGGATACTCTGTAATAAATTAATGCGACGTTAACGGATTTATTAGTCCAGCTCTGGGGTCATTGTCGAGCGAAACGACAGACGTTTTCTCTCGTCCGACGTTTGTCGGGAATTTGTCTTGTCTTTAGAACGCGTGACTAAAACGCAGACTATAAATAAAATTGTTTCACCTCGACGTTTTCCTATTTTTATGCGAATATTAAATTTTATAATGGATGCACATTTGTGTGGATTTTATTGTTGTTTATTCAACAAAGTCCTGTTATCATACCACCTGTGCCTGAATGTTGTAAGGATTTTGGAATGGCGAAATTGAAAAAAAATCATTACATTACATTTGGTTATAAATTAATTATATAGTGTTTAATTACCGCAAAATTGGGTTTATGAAACACCGTTCAGTGTAGTATCATTGTTGTTTTAGCAACATTTACTTCTTAAACATATTCATTCGGTAGTCTCGCAATGAATATCATATAGCCTACTTATCTTTTAAACGACCGCCTGGGTCACGCTCCCGTAACTTGAATTGAAATAAAAATTTAATATAGGAATTTAATGTGCGGTTACATCCTTTGTATTAACTAAACATAAGTGGAGGCCTGTTTATAAAGTTTATACGTTAAAGATGTAGTTGATGTAGTCATATAAAAATTGCAATAAATCAATCGAAACGGGTCCACCTGACGGCGTGGCCACAGCGTTTATAACTCGACCGGCAACAGCTAAATATATCCCTGGCCGGACGTCTGGGGCGGCCTTCGGACGTTTTTTCCCACCGCAGCCGCCGATGCATCGCTCCCGGTGGGCTCATTGATACCCCTGTATACACTTTCATTACGTTAACACGTATACATTTATACCGTACGCTGATATAATGTAAATATTCCGCATTAAAACCGAAGAGACCGAAGTTAAAAAGGAGATTGTGTCATCTCTTCAACGCTTTCATTACAATTTCATGGTTTGGTTCACATATAACAACATACTGAAGAATTCATTTGTTAACGGTCTGGTCAATTCAGAGAGTTTAACCATCTTTTTGGCATTAAAAGTGAAATTTGTAAAGCCTTTTGACAGCTGATTAGTTGACATCTACGATGATCGGGGTTTCAGAAACCGGGCGTCAGTGTAATACATGACACTTCAAGAGACGCTGCGCAACCCAGTGTGGGTACTATACGTATTCTAGTTATAATATGTTTCTTACTTAGTGAAGGTCTTTCTTAGTAAAGGTTTGACGAGCAGGTTATTATACACCATTCAAAACAGGTTTGTGGCCACCAAAGCATCGAAAGCACGTTTCAGGTTTAACTTTTCCCGCGGTTTGTAACATGGTAGGGGCTTAAAGAAAACATTTATTGTCTTCTATATTAATTATATGAGAGAGAATTATATCTCTTGTGAAATTATTGTATTCTTGACCTGTGTAATGAAATGTTGTCTCTTAGAATTTTTTACTATCTTTATCAATGGATATTAATAATTGCTATTATAGTAACAGCCTATACATGTCCCACTGCTGGGCAAAGGCCTCCTCTGTACAGAGGGTATCAGGGCATTGTCCACCACGCGGCTCCAGTGCGGATTGGCGGACTTCACATGTGTTCGAAATATTTTTTTTTGTTATTATTTCGAAAATATGCAGGTTTCCTCACGATGTTTTCCTTCACCGCTGAGCACGTGATAATTCGGTACTTAAAACTAACAATTTCATTGGTGCCTGCACCGGGGATCGAACTCAGGTTGCTACAGTATATTGAATTAAAGGCGAGCGCCCGGACACTGAGCTATCACGGCTCTGAATTGCTATTAGTCGGGCTCGAATTAATATTACATGGCGGGTGTTATTGCTAGTCTTCATATAAAGGGTAAGAATGTAACGTAGAGTCAGACATTTAAGTAGGTATGCTCTGAACCAGAGGTCCAAGGCGTCATATTGACTTAATAGCATTAAATCTAATTAGCGTTAAGACCGCCTATTATACTTTCCTATCTATATTAGCGTTTGCGTGTAGCAATGAAAGTCGTCAGTAGTAAATGTAAAAGTATCAGTGATAAAAAATGATAATTTTTTTGCGTATTTTTAAAGGCAGAAATATGACAATTTTTTTTCCCTCGTCTGCCAATTCCTTCGTTCGCCCCTAGAATTAAAAAAAAAGAAGTGAAACAACGTGATATAAGTGACGTGTTTTCAAGAAACACTATGAGTAACTTTTCGAAGTTAATTCACTGATATATTGAATTTTAATTTGAACAGGCCCTCACTTTTAATCATTGCATAAATCTAATCAAACCTATAATAGGCAAATGCACAACAATTCGTCTCAAAAAATAATATGAATAGTATAACAAGTAAGCATTTTATACTATTCATTACTTCTCAAATAAAAACACAGCTCTCCTTTGCATAAAATCCGCGCAGTATCGTGAGTTCGGCTGGCACCTTCTGTTTCAAGAACTTGTTAAGTCTGTGTCGAACGAGCCATTATTGGTTTCCTGAGTGTGATTTGTTTACACTTACGCTAAAGCGACAAACACTCGCCGTTCTCTTTTTTCCTTTTGCTTTAATTACGCTATCCTTTTCTTGCCATTCGACTTGTATGAGAAAGTTATGATGAACGAAACATGTGAATGTCACTGTGTTTGGAACACTCGATCGGTGATTTTGAACGTGTGATGTGTTTGTAATTAACATAAGCAAAGTGAATTTGTAAGTAACATATCTATAGTATGAAATATCATTTTGATCTTGGTGGTGTAATTTTCATTTTGATTGGAACATGCTCATCGTGCCAGCTCGGTCTCTCTCTGGGTTTACAATAATATTTAAATCTTAAGACTACAAGACAATTATAAATATTTACTGTCGATACCAGCATATATGTCTTAATTACACGTCGACACAGGATCCGCAATTACAGCCAATCAGAGCGTGATTCGCACCATCCCAATCCAACTGACTGGGTACAACATCCATACCATTCCGACTGCCGACATTGCCCATTCTTCATGGACAACTGCATGCCACGGGATATAATTAGCGGATAACTATCTTATGCACTGCAAAAAGATAGTTATCCACTAAACAATATAAGTCTCCAGGCTGAACTACTGAAGGTCGCTGGAGCCGACACCTGTTAGAGTGGACACGATTAGGAAAACGTAGTGTACGACGGCCTGCAGCACGATGGACTGATGGCAGGTAGCGGATGGATTCGGGCTGCCCAGGACAGGGATAGTTGGCGCACTTTGGACGGTGATATGCTGATATTGTCATTATTGTCAAACAATATAAGATTAACGCTCCCCAATAAATGGGTAATGGAGAGACGTGAAGTTATAGTGTGCACAGCGGTTGGTCGTTTGCCAATTTTTCGATGCGAACCGCTCGCCTCATGCTTCCATCTCTTAGATTTAGTAACTACAAACCGTTCGACGTACGGTAGTCTGGAAATTGCAGGGATTTCTTAAGTGTCTAAGGATTTATATACCAAGAAATGGTTGAATACGATGGAACTTTTTAATATGACCGTCAACTTCTTTTTTACCATATTCATACAAATAAATAAAATAAAAAAATAAAGGCGCAGCATAGTAGAAAGTAGGATGACTTATCGTCATGATCATTTCAGATTGCTCGTCATGATCATATGGAAACAGGCTTGCGATTCCATAGTTAAACGCACGCATGAGTATATGCGTGGCCCTACCCACAGAGGAGGGCCCAAACCCGTGGGTTCTGGCTAGCCCACCGGTTCTGCGTCAGATGAAGCTTAAATAGTCTCGGGACTGAAAGCAAAAACATCAGTCAATACAAGATACAAGATACAAGGTTGCGATTAGTCTATGCGCAAAGATGAATCGAATTCGAGGATGCGTTGTAATTGTTATATCATACAATAAAAACAGTTAACATAGTTTCAAGTAATAAAACGAACGAGAAATATCACTCAATATTTAATAAGTAATGTACATTTGTAATATTGAGAACGTCACGCCATTGAAAATCAATAATTTTATAGTAACGAGGTCTTCAATAATCATGTATTCCGTTACATGTAATTAATGCTATTATTGCTATTATCAATATAATACCTAATATTAAGCATCTAGTACAAGGCTCATAAACCCGCACGCGGTTCTCCTGAAACTCGACCTACTTGGCGCAATTTGTTGAACACATAACATGTTACGGCGAGAGGAACTTTTCGGGGAATGTTTGCGTAGCCAATTGCTTTATTAATAGGCACGGTACTTCATATATACTTCGTCGAAACCCGATACAAACATTTAGAGTATTTTTTTTTTTATTTTTTGGAAAATTAAAATTAAAAAAAAATTAAAAATTAAATTAAAAATGGTGGCCAACTAGGAAATAGGTCACCTGATGCTGATTGACCATCGCCCAAGGGGAGCCACGAATGCGTTGCCGGCCTCTGAGGTGGGAAATAGTCACTCATCTTGGTCCTTAACTTTTATCGGGCTTATCGGTACGGAAACACCGCTCGCAACAACTACCGCAATTGAAAAATCTTAGAGTGAAACGGAAAATAGTAAATTTTCTGAAATACTATCCAATGCATCTCTGCCTCACCGATCTAAGAAAATTCTAGAATTTTATTGCTTTGCGTATGCATTCATTTGAGTGTTTTTTCTTTTTTTTCAGGTAAGACTTGGGAATCTGAATGGCTAATCCTTTGTGAGTATACTGTATGTTGTGCTGTTTCTAGTTACTTTTCTTATGAAGTTATTAATTTTAATAATTTTTTAAAAGCAATTAACCATATTGAGTAGTCTCTTACTTCCTTGTAACTTAATTTAATTCATTTTTAATTGTGTATAACTACTAAGTTTATAACTTTTCATTTTATTGTTTCGTACGCTTCTCTTCCGAACACATAATTCTATACCAAATTCTCTAATTGTGAAAACTTTTAAATGGCCTTTAATTTTGTTGAATTTGATCAAGCAATGACTGTTCTAGCTGTAAGTTTTCCAAAAATATCTAAAATAAAAATAAAATAAAAATAATTTTGTAAAGAGAGGTAAGGTGTCCTAAGCTTATTAGTTACCGTCTTTTATATGATGCGGGTGATGGGCTATACTCTAATACCCTCTGAACAGAACAGGCCTTTGCCCAGCATAGCCTATACATGTCCCACTGCCGGGCAAAGTTGCTTTACTTTTCACTACTGCAATAAAATTAGGTTCGGTTAGCTGTTTTTGACAACACAACTTAACCACGGCCTCGCTGTTTTCAGTTATATGCCGCACGATGTTTGTCTAAAATGAGAACGTGGAATCGCGTTACATAAAACTCCTAACGCGCCACATTCTACGTCAGACACTGCGACGCAGCCTTGAGCCCATCGATCAGACCACGAACTTGACTCCGGAGGCGATGCGTCTAAATAATCGTTCCAATACATGCTTTAATACACAGCTTGTGCAATACCTTCTCCATTCTTTCTCTGAACCGGAGTCTGATATCTGTCGATATATAGAAAATAATAGTGACACGGATGGTGATGACTCCGTGGAGCAGTCGCTAAAGCGACGCCTGGTGTCGTACGTTCGATCCCCACACGGGACAAGTATTAGTGGGACCACCAGATAATTGTTTCGGATTTCGCTTTTTCCCAAGGAGAGTAGACGTCAGGCAGGCCGTAAAAAACTTTGCCAATACTAGTTATTTAGTATTAGTATTAAATTAGTATTATTTATTAAGAATGACTCACGATCACAAGTTGTACCAACTCTACTTAGTAAAAAAAAATAGACTTATTGAAATTCGTTATGAGAAGCTCAGTAAACTATCGTAAGAAGCGTGTATTGTAACATTGAAATTCTATGACAGTGGTATACATGTTACGGTACAGGTGTGTACATATGACAAGTTTTAATGATAAGGCTACAATATTGACGTGATGAGGCAAAGGAAGGAACTAAGCCTGCACTGAAGTGACGCGAATGCTGTATGAAAACTGGAGTCAATGCTAGTTAGTAGCACGTTGTTCATTTGTCACCTTCACCAATAACAAAGCTATCAGTCTTTGTAATTAGAGCGAGCACTCGAAGGCAAGGAGACGCGTCAACAGAAGTGTCTAGAAACAAGAAGAATGCGCTTAAAATCTCCGATACACTAATTAGTTGGTTAGCCGTTTAGTCGCTCGCGTCGCGGTCGAAAATACACTCTGGCCGGCCTTGTGCGCGCAGTGAGGGTATTTTCGCTGCAGCGGCCACCTCGTACTGGATGCACAGCTATGACGGACGACAGACGGATTGGGTTACCGCCACTCCTCGTTGGTTTTTTCGCTGCACGTCTAGAGAGCAGCGACGAAGTGTAGACAGCCAACCATCGTCACCATCGATTAATGATTATGTACGGTGCGATAACATAAGTAATTACGAGGCCATTGAGCCACACGAAAATTTCGCATAGTCCCCGAAAGTTGTATAAGAAAATTTTAAATGCTTTTTTTATGAAAACAATAACTTTTTTTTTAACATTAATACTTGTATACTCGCACTATATTTTTTATACTTTTTGTCAATAGCAGTAAGAATATACTTTGATGCTTTAATCATTAAATTTTACGAAAAATTATGGAAGTAATGGAGTTTCAACAAAAAACACTTTTGAGAAATATACATATCATCTTTGAGAGGTATCGATGTTATTTTGTGAGGATTTGAAGTTTATGGAACTCTTTAAATGGTCCAGGCAATTAAATAAACTGAAGACTTCCTGAGCCATTATTTTGTATGGGAAAGAACATGGTAAATGAGGCAAGAAGAAAAAGGATCCCGTAGACCTGATGTCACGTAATAACCACCGCCCACAGAATCGTCTCTTTCATTAAAAAGTCGTAAACGAAAAATTATAAGGCACAATTGGATGATTTTAAAATTTTTGTCAACTAAATCACTGTTCAAAATGAACTATTATTAACCAACGAACAGACATTCCCGTCTTTAAGCATGACTGGATTAGAGAGGTAGCTAGTGCTGTTTGGGATCATTCAAGCTTATTGCGTCTGGAAATTGAACAGGAAATTAGTCTGACGTGAAATAAAAGCACATGCAGAAATAGAAGAAATCCATCCAAATTGGGTGAAATCCATACGCTGTTGGAAACGAACGATTCGAATCATGATAAGTCTAAGCTTGTGTCAAATGGGCAGGCTCGTCCCACGACCTCACAGACGACCGGCGTAAAGTGGAAGTATAATACTTTCGCGTTTCGTCTAGTGAATGAGGTGGCCGGAGCCCAATTTTCAAAAGGTTGTCAACGCGTCTGCAACCCTCGGGTGTAGCAGAAGACCATGGGCGGCGGTATTACTTACAGTACTTAACATCAGGTGAACCGTCTGCTCGCTTGGCAACTTTTCATATAAAAAAATGGTATATAGACATGGTCTGTCTGTCTGTTTGTTCCGGCTGATCTCTGAAACCTTGACCGATTTTGACGGGACTTTCACTGGCAGATAGCTGATGTAATAAGGAGTAACGTAGGCTACTTTTAGTTTAGAAATTTTATTTATTATTATTCCACGCGGACGAAGCCGCGGGCACTGCGAGCAATTAATAAATTAAAAAGTATTTTTTTACATTAAAATATGTAGAAAAAGTGCGAAAAGATTGTCGCCGCTGTGGGAATCGAACCCACGTCTTCGGCATTCGCGGCCTGACGCTCTAGCCACTGAGCTAAACGGCTGATGACCACACCGACGAAAATCTTAACGCATTCCTCTACATTGTTTTCTTAGCATTTGAAGCAATGCTTGGCGCCATCTATTGTTATATCCTTTCCAGCATACAAACAATTTCGAATTTCGTTTTACAACGATAATTCGAACGAGAGATGTCGCCATTGCTTTTTTAGAAAATAAATTTAAAGTTGTAAAACGAAATTCGAAATTGTTTGTATGCTGGAAAGGATATAACAATAGATGGCGCCAAGCATTGCTTCAAATGCTAAGAAAACAATGTAGAGGAATGCGTTAAGATTTTCGTCGGTGTGGTCATCAGCCGTTTAGCTCAGTGGCTAGAGCGTCAGGCCGCGAATGCCGAAGACGTGGGTTCGATTCCCACAGCGGCGACAATCTTTTCGCAATTTTTCTACATATTTTAATGTACAATCTTAAGTGCTAAGATTAGCACTATAAACAATTTAAAAGTATTTTTTTAAACGAATAAATTAAACATTTACCTAAAGTTGGAAAATGTGGATACTGTTAATCGCATGTCAAACAATGAAGAAAAGATTGTCATTTAAAATGAAACATCTTGAACGAAAATCTGTTTACATCCATATGCATTTAGTAAATTATAGTTATTTAGTTATTTTAATATAACAAACAGACGCTTCAATTTTATTTATCTGTATAGATAATGCCACGAAATCCGATAAATGTTTAAGTTTACCAACAGAATGCATTTCGCTTTTACTCCGTCAATTATCGCCGGTAGATAGTCGACACTTTCGTAGTCGTGACCTCGACGCGGTTACGCACTCGCTAACAGCTATCTCATTACGCCCCACCTGCTATCTGCTTTGCCTTTTTTTAGTTGTGTTTACAACAAGGTCTTTGATAGTCGATGCCGATTCTGTGGTTATACGCTTGTTTCCACTGTGATAGGACCACGCACCAGTTTCTGGTGTTGCAAGAATAGGCAGGCTCATCCGGGGACCATGGTCGCAAAGTAGATCGGTGTGAAATCGATACATTATAGTTTCGCGTTTCTTTTGGTTAGTGAGGTGACCGGGGCCCACTGTTTTGGTGTTGTAGATGTCTTTGGGCGGTAATAAACACTTAGCATCATTAAAATATGTAGAAATCACATATTATATAATAGCAGCGACTTAGCATCAGCTGAATCGCTTCCTCGCCTGCACATCACTCGCATAAAAAATGTAGCAGTCTTTGCTGTTGCATGAATGGGCAGGTTCCTTCGGGTAAGTACAACGGTATCACAGAAGACCGGGGTGAAGTAGAAATGTTATATTTCTACGTTTTGCGCCAACGCATATTCGACACCTGAGGTGTTGCAGATATACATAGGCGGTGGTAATCACTTAACATTACGTTAACCGCTTGCCTGATTGACACCTTTTCACATAAAAAAATTTAGCTCGATCTCGCATGCCACTTTACATAATATTATATATATCTCGCACTTGCGTATCTAACTCAGAAGCTGTTGTCAATAATGCACACTTTCCACTGATTTCTTAAAGACCTATCGCCGTAAATTTTAATTACATATTTTATAAATCGTAAAATCGCTTACTTACCCGTTTTATCCTGTTTTAACTGAACTACCGCATCTAAATTTAAAACTTTTGCTATAGACTAGAGTGAGGCATTATCGTCGGACCGCTAAACTTTGCATTTAGCGGTCCGACGATAATGCCTCACCGGATTATTGACTTCAGTCTTCAGGTTTATTCCGAGCACTTCGCGATTCCAAGCTCGGTCGATGCAAACAAAGGGCGGGCGGAACGTGAACCGACGTGCAGTCAATTTGCACATCTGTCACGACTCACTCCTTTGCCTCTTTATTTTATTCGCACTCTCAGTTATCGTTAACACCTGAAACCGCGGATTCATTGGATTCTTACCGTGACCGCAATTGACGTTTAATTTGTTACAAAAGTTTGTTTGAAAACTATTCCCATATTTTTTCAATGCACATAAGCAATTTCATTAAAGAAATAATGGGTAATTTTGGAATTGATCAGGATACCTATGTCTACTAATCTATGTTACAAATTAGGCGTTAGACTGATTTCTGTACGATAGACAGATTGCTCCAATTATATGCATGTAGTATCAGTGGGTTTTCGGCCGGTGTCCTCGGACATAATGTGGGCAGACGTAGGTATTGCGGCTTTCGGTATAGGATGCAGCTCGGCATGTATCTTACCAGAATGGGGTTTTGCTACTTTGCAGGTCACACAGTTGTCCACAAACTTTCTTACATATCGACTCATACTCTCGAACCAGTAATGATCATATAGCTTCTCCAATGTTTTATTCCATCCAAGGTGGACTAGAGAATCATGGAAGTTGTTAACGACTGACCATCGCATAGCTCGAGGAACCATGGGTAAACATTTCGTTCTGCCATTTCGTTGTACTTTTCGATAAAGTATGCCGGATCTTACCTCATATGTTTTAGCGACGTCGTCATTGAGCTGTCCTAGGTCTAGGTCAGAAATAATCTTCTTAATACCTTCGTCTCTCTGCTGCTCTGCAAGAAGCCAATTATCAGAAAGTTCCGCCACGTTCACACATTTCTGTTCCAATTTCTTAATGCGTGGTTTTGTTGAGCCATGTGGCAACAGGTTACGAGAAAAGAAATCAGCATGCGCCATTTGCTTGCCTACTCTGTATTTGATGTCAAAATCAAAAGACTGCAAAAAGGTCCACCAGCGATGAACCCTCGGCGCCAAATCAATTTTGGTGCGGGACATCTTCAGAGAATTACAGTCGGTTAGGACTGTGAATTTCAAACCATGCAGGTATTGCCTAAAGTGTCTTACCGCATTGACGACGGCGAGTGTCTCCAACTCGTACGAGTGGTATCTGGACTCAGCCGACGTCGTGCGTTTGCTATAATAGGCCACTGGTCTTCGCTTACCATCAACAATCTGTAATAATATAGCTCCGTATCCATCGGCGCTTGCGTCTGTATGTAGTTCTGCAGGATACTGGGGATCAAAAATCATAAGTACTGGCTCATTGGTCAGTATGTCTACTACCTTCTTTCGCACTTCCTCACATTTTGGCGTCCAATCGAAAGGACATTTACCCGAGGTTAGTTTGTATATTGGGCCCATTAAACGAGAAAAGTTTGGTACGAACTGCCTAAAGTAAGATGCCAATCCTACAAATTGTCTAACCTGAGTGATTGATGTAGGTGAAGGTAAAGACGACAGAGCTTCTATTTTACGCTTATTAGGTTTGATCTCACCCGCTTCTACCTCATAACCTAAAAATTCTACTCGCATTTTAAGAAAGGAACATTTCTTAAGGTTCAGCGAAAACCCTGCCTTTGTAAGTTTGTCAAGCACGACCTGTAACCTATCTAATCCCTGAGAAATCGAGTCACTAATTATTAAAATGTCATCAACGTATACTATCACATACTGGTTAGAAAGTTCACCCAGGGCGTTTATGATCGCCCGCTGGAAGACAGATATTGCGTTACGGAGTCCAAACGGCATAGATAGGAACTCATACTGAGAATCGTTCGTCACAAAAGCAGTACGCTCAATTGACTCGGCTTGGACAGGAATCAAATGAAATCCACTTGCACAATCAAGTTTAGTGAAGAAATTGGCACCATGGAGCCGCGAAATCTGATCGGAAATTAACGGTAATGGATAACGGTCCGGTATAGTGTTCATGTTCAACTCTCTGTAATCTATGCACATGCGGTCTGATCCATCATGTTTTTTAACTAACAGAGCAGGGCTGGCAAATGGGGAATTACTAGGCCTAATAATATTTGCTCGTAACAATTCGTCAACCCTGTCCCGCATAATCTGACGTTCCTCTGGCGACAACCTTTGCACGGTACGGTTAGGATCTATCAGTCTAATAACTAACTCGCCAGTATTGACGCGGGTTGTTGGAAAACCGTTGATAAAGTATTCAGAATATTGTTTTAAAATATTCAAGAGCTCATCATGTCTATCGGCTGGAATATCCGTATCAATACTATTAAAATTTTCGGTAGGTACACAAACATCCGATGAACTACAGGCATTCACAGTCTTATCTCTCGTTAAACTAAACTTTGTTGCACTCATGTTTACACGAAAGGCATTGTGTAAAATCTCCCTGTCTATCAAAATGTTACTACGTAAACAAACATCTGGCAAGATATGGAATAAAATCTCAATGGCTAAATTATTAATTTCTACCTGACACAATATTTGCAAAGTACAGTTTACTTTTTTGTTGCCAATACCAACTAATGAAATCAAATTATTAATTCGTTTGCCTCTAAATTTACTGGAAATACTCTCTTTCATTAACGAGCATTCCGCTCCTGAATCAAAGTCAAATTTAAAACACTCACCAAAGTGGTTTAATATTCCGGACGGAGGCTCCACCAGGCACAGGTCGACACGCTTCTCCACCTGGGCTGCAACACTGGCCCCGTCAGCTGTGCAGCGGCTGGCGATGTGCCCCTTTGTACCGCATTTGTAGCAAACGATGTAGCTGTTGTTGGGTTGCTGGTGTTGAGAAGTAGTCGTAGCTGTTGTTGCAGTTGCAGATTTCTTTGCCTCAATCTTCTTCGTCCTACAATCCGCTTGTCTATGCCCCAGCTTGCCGCAGGTATAGCACTTGATCTGTGATTGCGATGAAAACTTTGGGCGTTTTTCTTTCGTGTCATCTGCCCGGTTATCAATGGAAGCCTTACGTTTCAAGTATGAGAAAGCTTGGAGTTCTTGCTGTAGCTGGTGACGTGTATTAATCTCCGTAGTAAAGGCAAGTCGTTGCAAGCGAGTATCAATGCGTGCCAAGTGTGCTGTAACTGTCGATACCGCTATTTGCTCAATGCTCGTATTTTTCCACCGGCTAAGCAATAACGTAATCAGACGACTGGCATAGGCGGCATAGGTCTCATCTTCTTTAGGTTTATCATTACTTAAATTCATGAGGGTCGCCGCAAATGTTTCAACACTGACAAATCTTGCCGTAAATAATTCTTTGAATTGCGTCCATGTCATACCTGGATAAGTAATTTCCGATAGCCATGATGATGCTGAACCTTTCAATGCCTTGCTGAGGATCACAACGAGCTGGCCACCTTGTACAGCATTTTCTTCAAAAACTAAATCGGCTGTTGAACACCACAATCGCGCATCACAATTGTACTTATCGGGGTCGAATTCCGGCAATACCACTTTGTTATTTACACTTGGAGTTTTCAATGCTTTGATAAGCTCGCGCATTTGTTCATTTTGCATTTGGAAAAGTAGCCGTCATTGTCCATTGTTACTAGTCTCAATTGCACGGTTAGATCCCACTTCTGATGTAGTATCAGTGGGTTTTCGGCCGGTGTCCTCGGACATAATGTGGGCAGACGTAGGTATCGCGCAATGAGAGAAGCGTACAAATCAACAAATCAACACAGTATGGTAACACTGACGAAACGAAGGACAGTTCCGTGACGCGTCTTCACTTGTCGGCGTCCACCAAAAAGTGTCGCCTCACGACTCTGTTGAAGCGCACCGGCCCCGTAGTTGCGTGATTTCGCCGCTAGGGGCGCGCTTGCGTTCCGTTTAGCGACCGTACTCATGACCGGATACGACATGCACATATTAGATAAATGGCAATCTATATGCCCTAGATATTAATTGATAACTTATAACACACATATTATGTACTGATTAAAACGACTAAAGCAAAATAATGCATTTAAATATTGTAACAACTTATATAAAAATGCTTCGCTAAAATAAAATAGCACATGTGTGTAGACGTGGTGTTGACATAACTTTTTATGCAGGCGCTTGAATATTACATAGGTAACAGACGGTATATATATATTATCAATATCTGCCTTAGTCTCAAATTTGTGTCGCTCGGCTATACAGCGCTGTTAAACTGAAGCACCATTCAAAAGCCTTAGAACTCCCATTATAATCTTTGGCGGCAAAAGCTTAGCACGTGAATGTGTGAAATTGATGTATATAATATGTTGAGGGTAAATTTTACTGTAAAGTAATTTTATTTTAATAAATTTTAATATTACGAGGGTGATGATTATAGATAATTTTGTTACAGAGATTAATATGGCCCCTTTGATTGCAAATTTTATGATGGTACATGCGTGTTTCGCGTATGTGAACCTATTATGATCGTCCGTTATTATTGCTTTTAATTGAGAACTTATTAAATTTTTGTATTTAAATATCAATTATAAATATTTAAAAACAGTATATCGAAAGCATAGTAATAATGGTATTCATATATATTCATATCACATTTGTTTTCATGAAAGTAGGCACGAAGATTTCACCAAAGCTAGAATTCTTATTTCTTGTTAGTGTAAAATATGAAAAATACGCATTCAGAACAAAGTGCTGTTCAGATTGATATTTCACCTATTATATCTTTGGACTACGCTTTTATTGTCAATATCACAATTCCACATCAGACTACAAATTTGAAAAGGCTAATATTATCAAACCGAGAAGGCAGACTCTCACCACTATTTCCGTGATGTAACATGTATATCGCAATCTGGCGTGCTCTCCTCCCAATACCAGAGGAGGAAGTTCGTTCAAGAGTGAGCGAAGTTTCTCGATTAGCATTGCAAATCCATTCCCGTCCGCTACGTTAGCGTCGAATGTTTACAGTCACAGTTCCTGTGCACCGTTTAAACTGAACGTAATGATTTAAATACTCCTCGTATTACTCTGCTCCCCTGGTAGGTACACGGACTAAAATAATCCCCCAACATACACAGCATGTGCTGTAGCAGTCCTCTATGCAAGAGTCAGCCTATCCGTGGATTCCAAAAACCGAATCCACTCTATACTGAAGTTGTTTCATAATATCTAAAGTAAAAGTAAAGTAACAGCCTATACATGTCCCACTGCTGCGCAAAGGCCTCCTCTATACAGCGGACTTCACATATTTTCGAAATATATTTTTTTGTTATTATTTCGAAAATATGCAGGTTTCCTCACGATGTTTTCCTTCACCGCGGAACACGTGATAATTCAGCACTTAAAGTTAAAAACTTCAGTGGTGCCGGCACCGGGGATCGAACTCAGGTTGCTCGAGTATATTGAATTAAAGGCGAGCGCCCGGACACTGAGCTATCACGGATCTCTATTATAATTAATAATATCTATTAAGATATAATAAATATAAAAAATAATATGTATTAACATTAAAAGGAAACAACTTCAGTATAGAGTGGATTCGTTTAGCGGTTAATAGGTGAAAGAGTCTATAGGAAATCCATAATTTGTTTTGGGTTCGTACTTTCTATGGCTAGATTGCGTTAGGATAGCCAGTTGTTGTTTGTATCTGTCGATTCGTGAAACGTCCATTCTTCCATTCGGTTTTCGTATTGGAATTGTAGAGCAGTATTATGTATCTCACGATTTCCAATTTTCGCTGGCTCTTTTTCTATATGTTTGCAGTATTCCAGATCCGGTCCAGTGGTCGGTAGCTCTTCGACCCTGACCTCATCTCCCTTGTCTCTCAACTCCAGGCCCGCCAATGTGCCGCAGACCATGATATGTGCTCTCCCAGGAATGAGATCTGCCCGATGCTGTCCATTTTATATTACCATTGCTTTCTCTATTCGTGTGAATCTATATTTTTTGTACTTACGTCGTCATATAATGAATGTACCTAAGTGTGTCTGAAGTAACTTTAATACATTATAGACTGCGTGTCCCTGAAATAACCTTGGGGAAATCGAAGCCACGACCCCACGATTCTGAGGTCATGTCAGTTTAAAATCGTCACCGAATCATTCTCAGACGGCAGATAAATTTTTATGTCGACTTGTTGCACCTACCAAGCTCCGGTGGCTCCCTTTTAAACGCCAAGCAATCGCTTTAAAGCGGAAACAATATTAAAACCAATGAAATATATATAAATATTTGATTTCCTATATATCAGTAAGTTAAAAAATTGACCTAACTATGAAACTTAATCCGTTGAGAATTAACAAAAATATAAGATAAATAAAGATTAAACTTTTACTACGTGCGCAGTTCGCACGCGAACCTCGAGGCCATTGACTGCCAATTTTTCACTTGCAAATCGCAAATAGATATCACGGAGATATTTCCAATCTTGCATCCAAATCCGTACGAGACCGCCATAATTCTTTTGTTATTGTGATAACTTTGCACCGCTCGATTGCAGTGCAACGCACCGGCCACGTGGTTCGGCCTTGTGAAAGTCTATTTCGGGACAGCGATCCTTTGTCCCGGCGCGTGGTGGGGTCGGTGGCACCGCCACCGTGGTTTAAGTTAATAAGCCCCTTTCCTTTTCAAGAGCGGTCGGTGTCAAATGCCACCGTTTAGCTGAATATTAAATTAAATTTTTTGTACATTTCAAACTACCGACCCGCCCCAGATTCGCACTGGTGCAATAAAAGATAAAAATGTTATCCGTTGGAAATTAGTATTTAATCCTTTGGAAACTAGAGGTTATCCTTAGGACATAAACAAATCGCTATACATAAACATATAAGGTTTAGCCAGCGTTTGCAATGTAAGCGCACAATTTTTATGATTAGCTCAATAAAAATCAAAACGATCTTATTGCTATTTTGTAGCGATCATTCATAGCGTTTATCTTAACTCGTGTTTCGTTGAAAAGGGAGGCACGTGTGGGGATAAAATTTATTGCCTCCCTCCTGAAAACTAACTAGTCTCGCGCCTGCCTCACTATCTTCCGTCTGTTGTCTGATTCTATCTGATGTCTAGACTTCCTCCTTACGCCTCCTCACCCCCTCTCCGCTCTTGGCACTAACATTTCCAACAGCGTTTTCTTTTGGTTTTGCTAACATTTTGAATCTGTATTTTTTTTGTTTCAAAAAGAAAAACGTTTCTGAATGTCGATTGTTCGTTTATCGTTTCATAAATGTTGGGTTAAAATAAGTAATATATTTTTAGTTAAAATGTTTTGCTTGCAAATGTCAAGTTATTTCGTCGGCAAGAATTGATTAACTCCCTGATATTGTTATGGGCGTTTGGTAAGGTTCAGTCCTTGTGACCAGCGTCGTGATGAAGGAAACCTGTTACTTATTACCACGGCGCTCGCTTGACCCAAATCCGTCCAAGAGATCGATAGGCCCCGCGGCCTACGAATGCACTTGCGCTGCCGTCGAATGCTATGTGTAAACATTGAAAATGTTCGGCTGCCGCCCCTCCACCCCCAGTCTAGGGGATGAGGATCGCTGCGCGGCAATAAGTCCACCATCCGTGCGGTTTGTTGGCTCTCCCAGTTCCTACCCGCCCCTCGTGCATGGCTGCACCCCCAAAGTTACCAACCACGTACGCCGCCCCACTTCTATAATAATTTAATAGCGCGCATTCGAAATGACGTACACAATGAAAAAGCAGACCGTCCTAGCTCGAGTTTTCGTTTTGTTTCGGCCCGAAAATTTTTTGTTTTGTTCTGTTCGCGATTCCCGATTTAGGTGTAACGTTTTTATGAGTGTATGGTGATGAAGGGAGATTGATTTAATAAAAGATTTAGTAACAGTTAAGATGTTGTATTTATCCCTTTAGTTTATAGTAACAATCCCTGGACTAGCTCAGATACAATAGTGTACAAAATATAGAATCATAATAATAAGTTGGGCGCCTTGTCTGTTAGGAACAGACTGTTGTAATAATTACAATTAAGTATCTCAGGGTGTCGTGATTACCTAGGACTTACACATTACTTTGTGCGACCATAAAAAGGTTAGATACTTAAATTAATTTGAGAAGTTATGCAATTCAATATAAATACAAAGTCCAATCAGGTAGTTATTTTAAATCTTTGTCACTGCAGACACCTGCCCTGTGGGCACAGGTCGTTCAGCTCAGAACCAGTAGAGAAAGTCAGGCCAAGTGTAGTGTGTACAGCCACACTGTTGGGGGGTAAGTAAGAGACCTCTTGCCAACAAACACTACATTGTAGAACAGACCTGAATCTACCTACAATTATGAAGATGTGAACCACTTACCAACTGGAGGTAAAAACACAATTTAATCGAGCAGCAGCTCAGACCAGCTTGCCAGCCACCTATGCCTTCAGCATCCACCTGTGATATTCAAAAAACCACCCTTAGAAACACGAGACAATAAATTCTCAAGCTACCTTCATGTGAGATTTCTAAATACATTCTCAATGCAAGTCTTTTACAATTTTATTAGGGAGAACCAGTGAAATGAAGAATTACAAAAGGATCTTACCACAAGGGATAACAAGTCCAGCACAGAGTTTTCCAGACAGCAATCTCAAATATTACGACCAGGAACGTGTTCTGATTTCAACCTCTAACCATGCACTGTAAAAGAGCGAATTGATAAGAAAACGAAATACGTAAACAAAACAACCACTGGCATGAACAAAACCAAGCAACTACTTACCAGTCGAAGATAATAGATCCACAAAAACTAATTTATCCAATGTCAGTTCGAACCGGCGGCAGTCTCAAATGACAAGAAGCAACAAATGAACTTCACTTTTATTCGTCCTTTCAAAAAGGCAAAGGTTTATATAACGTGCAGCCTAGTCTTCAGAAAAATAACAATTTAGACAAAGTGATTAAATCACCCGTTACATAGGCACTCCACGAAATTTATTTTTCGCCGTATACGATAATATTACAAGATTTTGGACGTTCGTTGTTTTCAGCGTATCCCGTAAATTTAAAGCTCTTGTCCCATTATCGCTTTATATTTTAGCACCAGAAGGTATTTACACTCTTGGAAGACTTTCCTATTTCTTCTATCAGTTAGCGTCCCTCCCCGAAATCTATTATTCAGGTATGGTTTGGTAGTAATACGATATACTATCGTAGTATATCGTATTGTAGTTTTGTATTTATATGTCTGAGTATAAGAATAGATACATTTAAAGAGAAAAATTTATAGATTTTAATGTCAAGTCCCAAATGTCAAGGGCAATTGTAAACGTGTTGTTATAATGATCTATGGTACAGATAGCGAACGGAGTGAGTCAAATTTAGCTTTATTGAAACCTACGAATATTATTATCGAGAGAAATATGATTATAAAAAATACAAGTATATATGTATAAGTATATATGTTAAAATTTAAAATTTACTAAATGTAAGATACAAATGAACACTGACCACATAGTTTAAATCATCAGCATGCTCATGATTTCAAAGTGCATCTCCAAAAAAACTTTTTGATATGGGCCCTGCGTTTAAATATGTGGCGGGGTTGGTGATAATCCTAATTATGGATACTTATTGATGATCACAGATTTGATATAGCGATCACGATAACTACAAGTATACGAGATGGTCTATAGTGTGATACTGATTGCTTTATACTTTTCATTCCGCGTTTTTGACCCGAATTCATTTGGAAATAATATTATATTCGGCAGCTTTTTAATGTCCCAAAACGTAAAAGTCTTAACACTAGTTAAATTTTATGACTTACCCAAGCACAGTAAAATATAATGCTCCCTATATATTTCGCTGTAGCTACGCCTTAACAATAAGGATACCTTAAGGACCCTATTATTTTTATGAACTTTTAACGTTATTGCTACCGTAAAAACCCGTACCACCAGTACACCCGACCATAATATTGACTTTCCGTGACGGATGAACCTATCGCCCGTAGTTAATTGCCCCGACCTACCACAACAGCTTTTTTGTTGTCCGTTATTCAGATATTCTAACACAATATCGCTACTTTAAATAACAATGAAAACATCTTTAAAAATTTCTCACATAGCCATTCTATATTTCTGACAAACTTTCTCGTCTATATTTTACTGATAATGTATTTTGCAAGTAATCGGTAAATATCAGCGCCTGCCATAAAATCAACAGCAAACATTCGTATTTGTTGCTTACGTGAGACTTGAAGGCGCATATGAAGACTTGACATGTATATTATTATTTCTTAACAGTGTTTTTGTCGTTAAGCCTTAACTTTCTTGATTCTTTGTAATATTTAATGATACAAACAACATTTTAAAGCTCAAATTTGTCCCTGTTGACGAAAGGATAAAGACCAATAGAATTAGGTTAAAGTTTTCATAAAAAAGAAACTCATTTAAAATTTTCTTACGAATATAAAGAAATGACATGAATACATCGTGTCATTTCTAAAATTTTGCAAATTATGTATTTCCTTTAAGTAAGAGAGCAATTGATTTATATGCGAGTGTATGTTTACAACTCTCTCATCTTTTCTCTGTGTCACCACAATATGCTCGTTAGGTTAATTTTCAAGCAGACTAACATGCATTTTAATAAAAAAAAAAGCTATTTTAGGTACTTTATAATGAAACTTAATACTTAATGGAACAAAAGCGTTCAATTTTTTTCAAGATAGTGAAAGTGTAGCGTTACAATAATTCCACATTTCTTTTAATATTAAAAGCTTAATGCGGTATTACCCCCTTGACACACAATATAATTAAATGAAAAATTTCACTGCACTTTTAAAAGTTTTGCTAACAAAAGCAAAAAAGAATTTTGTTTTCGAAAAACCAAAGTTCGATATTTTTAAATCTCAATGCGTCATGTCATAGAATTATTATTTACACGAGTCTTATTTGGTTAAGTTTTGTGTAAAATGAACACGTTTTTTATTTACCTTAACCATGACCATCTGATGTTAAGTGAATACCGTCGCCCATAGACATCTGCTACCCCTGACGGTTGCAGATGCAAGTAAAATTAGTATTTACTCCTACTTCCTCACTAATAATATTACAAATCTCAATGTAAGTTTGCTTGTTACGCTATCACGCCAAAACTACCCAACCGATTATCATGAAACTTTGCACACCTATTCTTAGAGATGGAACAAGGACATTCTTTTTATTAAAGCGGGCGAACCGCGGGCGAAAAGCTAGGATATATATATTTTAACTGAAGTAGAGTACGAAATGGGTGGTAAGAGTTCATATGAATTATCCTACTCGATACCAGTAGTATCACGCCCTCGAAGAAGACAGGCGTAGAGTAAAATTTTTTATACTTTGATTTGCCATTATTATTTCGTAAACAAGTAATTATTCTATAAAAAGTAAACTCATTCGATCGGGCTGCGAAGTGAAATGTTCAATTCGAGGACCTTTCCTCAAATTTAATGAGGCAAACGTCCTTACGTCATGCTGAACACAATAAGTTTTAAGTGATTTTTAGGGTTCCGTACCCGAAGGTTAAAACGGGACCGTATTACTAAGACTCCGTTGTCTGTCTGTTTGTCTGTCTCTCCGTCTGTCACCAGGCGGTATCTCATGAACCGTTAGATAGACAGTTGAAATTTTCACAGATGATGTATTTTTGTTGCCGCTATAACAACAAATACTAAAAAACAGAATAAATAAATATTTATGTGGGGCTCTCCCATACATGATTGTTTTGACGTTTTAATAGATAATGGTAGAGAACCCTTCGTGCGCGAGTCCGACTCGCACTTGGCCGGTTTTTGGTTTATCTGTCGCTAACATTTGCGCAACTTTTATGAGGGCTACTTTCATTGTACCTATTTTGGGATTGTTTATTTATAGCTTATAAGTATCGCGTACCTTACTGGTCGCTTTCGAGGTATATTTCTTTCGAGGTTTATTCATACTGGTCGTTTGACTTGCGATCTGAAGGCTGCACGTTCGAATCCCAGTGAGTTGAGTGGGTCGGATTTATTACATGTCGGTCGGTGGTCGGTGAAACGACAACTACCTCCGCCGCCCACTTTAAGTTGGAAACGGTTTGAGAGTTTTATTATATCTTCTGGTCGAGATTTAACTGAATTGTATCTCGAAATTATCTAAATTTAACTGTTAATATTAATAAATATC